ACCCCCCCCCCCCCCCCCCCCTTCCTTCTCCCCTTCCCTTCCCACCTCCCCCCTCTTCACCACCTCCTCACCACCTCTCCTCCCTCTCTTTTTCCACCATACCCCAACTAACTGAGAAGAAAAAAAAGACACCCGCGAACCAGGTGAACTCCACCAAACAGGCCGCATCCCCACAGCCATCAACATCCCCATCACCACCTCCCCGGACTCCTTTTTCATTTCCGAAGACGAATTCGAAGACCGCTTTGGTTTTCCCCGCCCCTCTAAAGACAGTGAAGTCGTTTTTTACTGCAAGGCTGGCGTGCGCAGTAGAGGGGCTGCGGGGCTGGCGAGAGAGGCCGGGTGGGAGAAGGTGGGTGAGTACCCTGGGAGTTGGCTGGATTGGGCGGCGAGGGGGGGCAAGGTTGAGCGTTAGGGGTGATGAGGATGAGGTTTGATTGAAGGGAGGAGGAAGGGGGAAGGAAAATGAGGGAGGAAGAAGGGGGAGGAAGGGGTTATTTCCTTGAACCTGGCTTGCGTAGAGCAAGAAAAAAAAAATTACAAAAAAAATAAAAGGAAAAGACGATGTGGACTGAATGTGTATGGGTCTTGGTCTTGGTTAGGCCAAGTGATTATTGGACCTGGGACCTGGTACTTGGGTATGGAGTCCATGTTTGATAATCCAGCTGAACGAAAATTCCTCACATTGAAAGAAAGCAACTATGGTCGAGCAGGTTACTTTTTCCTAACAGACAAAAACAAAAGGGGTATATTCATTATCATCCATACTGTCCCATGCCGTTGTGCTCCCAAACTAAAAAGTCTCATCCATCAAATCCGGATTCATCTTCACCACGCTCGGACTAAACTCCGACTCCCCTTCCGGCATCTCCCCCGCCGTCAACAGTAAATTCTCCACAATCTTCTTACTCGCCTCCCTCGCCGGCGTCTGCAACAGCTTCGACGGCGGCAACGCAAACTGGATCGTCTTGGGCGGACTCATGCCCCCAAAGGGGTCCTGCTCACTGTCGCTCTCCCAATCGATTTCCTCCAGATACCTCTTCTTGGCTTCCACCGTCCCCTTGGGGATGGGCGTCTTGCCGGCGTTTGTGTGGGCGTTGGCGTTTGCGCTAAAGACATCTTTGGTCTTGCGTCCAGCCAACGGTGTCTGGACGCTTACGCCTGGCGTTCGGGGCGCGGAGCGGGCAGCGTAGGCGGCGGCGGCAGCGCGGGTGTTACCTCGGTAGGCGGATCGGATGGGGGACATGAATGCCGCGGAGCGTAGTTGGGGGACTTCCATCTCGGGAGAGGACATGAAGGAGTCTTGCCATAGTGGTTTTTCTTCTCTGGCTTTGCCTTTGCCCTTGGGGTCTAGGAGCGGTGGTTTCTTCTCGGTGACTTTCCATTTGATTGGGGATACGCCGCTCGCCTGGTGGCCTTTGTGTGGCGTTGCTCCGACGCGGTAATTCCTGTCTGGCATGCGGTGGAGGATGGGGTCCTTGTTGGCTGTTCCGCCGCGCTGTTGTTGTTGCTCGCCAAAGGGAGTGTTTTGGGCTCGGTGGGGGGTCATGGACATGTCGGGTAGACGGGCTGTGTGTTGTTGGAAGATGAGCTCGCTGTCGTCGTCTTCCATGGTGTCGCCGCCGGAACCGGAACCGAAGCCGGGTGTTTTGTTCGCCTCGGCGGCGGCCTTGAGCTCGCGGCGCCTGAGTTGCTCGTATGGAGAGTCGAGATTGGCGAACTGTGGTCGTGAAGGTATCGATTTGGTCGCTGGTGGACGGGGAGTGCTCCCGCTGAGGTCATCGCCAGTATCGGTCAAGACGGAATCGTTTGTTGTGCGCTGCCGGCCCTGGTTTTGGCCTTGGGCATTGAATGTAGCCGACGATTCATCATCGATGGTGATGTCGTGACTGCGACCGGCGCTCTGGGGATGGGGTGTTCCGGCTGGTGTGGTTTGATCGTGCGCGGATGTTGATTCTTCGTTGCTGTTCAAGACTGTGGTTTCGTTACTATTGGCAAGCTCTTCGTATCCCGAAAGCGAAACATTGGCCGATGCCTCGAAGAATTGTTTCCAGAACTGAGAAGCCAATGGCTGTTAGTTTGATGCTCAGGTGAGACGCTGTAGAGATGTCCGTCCCACCTTGGTTGATTCCCAGACTGATTTGGAATGCTCGCCGTATTGCTCGACTAGTGGTAAGATATTCGTGGTGACAATGCGATGCGCTCTGCTAAAGTTGGAATCAATCTCTATGACAGAAGGTCAGCAATGGGCTTGTTTGTCGACTTGTGATGCTTGGTGATCGGACCTTGCAGCGTCAAAGTAATGGATTGCTCGAGCTTTTCCAGCTCCTCCGTAAGAGTTAGCGGCCTCGTATTAGATGTTCCGGGGACTGACATGATCTCGGAGTGCAATCAGCTAGGTAGTCAGTCCTGTTGTTGTTTGGTTTTGATTGTGGAGAGCCGGAAGAAGTGTGTAAATTGTAGATAGCAGTGGGCTTGGTGTGTAAGTTCCGGCGCGTCATGGGCCGTAGAGTCGCGTTGCGGGGCATTGATTGCCGGCCGTGGTGGGGCCGCTATCACAGAGGTCCGGGGATCTGCTGTGCAGTACAAGTATAAATACCACTGACTGTCTAATGGATTCACAAAGTATGCATAGCTTGTATTTTTGATTCTCATTTTTAACTCAACCATTGACAAATTGCCTGTCTTTCCTCGGGTATCTAATCATGCTGGTCATGTAATCAATAAGCCATAGCCATCCATCCTGTAGCATTTTTTTTTTGCTCTTGTGGTTCCATCCCGAAAACACCAGTACGCCCCAAATGCAGTGAGAAAGACAACATCCTCTCCGTTCTAGAATGCCGACCAACCAGCTAACTCTGACCGGCACATGTCGACCTAGGAAAAAGTACCCCTGTGTGCGAGGCGCCTTTTAGCGGCGACTAGGTCTTGAACGACCACGGGCAACGGGTTTGGCCTTGGGAGCAGGACGGGCTCTTGTTCCCCTTGCTGTCTTTGCTGTGGACGCCTCGGCCTCCTCTTCGTCTGATGCTTCTTCCTCATCGCCTGATTCCTCTTCCTCGTCTGATGCTTCCTCCTCGCTTTCATCCTCATCCGGGGACTCCTCCTTGGTCTTGCGAGCCTTGCTGGCCGCCCGCTTTGCACTCCGCGCTCCTCTGGCCGACTTCCGCACCGGACTAGGGGCAGAAGTCTCGTTATCCGTGTCCTCCACAGTACTACTGCGAGTCTTGGTACCAGCTTCGGTGCGCTTGCGCTTCTTTCTTTCGTCACTTGGCTCGTTCGGGTCCCATTCCGCTGGGCTGCTAGGCGGGTTGCCCGGAGGAGCGAGCGCCGCTTGCAGCATCAAATCGCCGTAGTCGTCGCGAGGTAGCGAGAAGTCTTTGTAGCGCCGGGGCTTACCCCATTCTTCGGGAGGGTCAAGGCTGTTTTCTCGTTCGTCGATCGCATCCAGGTCGTAAAACGTCCTAAGTTTGGCCCAAATTCCGGGTATACGCGTGTGAGGATTCTTGAACGGGTCGAAGCCGTGGTTGCGGAGATGCTCGCTAATGGCTATAATTCGGAAATGCTTATGCATACCTAAAGGAGAGTTTGGCATTAGCTGGGTATGTTGGAAATATACTGTGACCCTCGGGATATGTGACGTACCCGCGGGTTTCCATCGAATCACACCCTTGAACAGTGAGGCGACCTGATCATCTGTCCAAGGATCATTCGGGTCGAACTTGGGTTTCGGAGGTTGGGCAACGGGCGCTACAGGTACGGGTGTTGTTCCAGCGGCTGGGGTGTCAATGTCCATGGCATCGTCATCTCGAGGTGTGGCCGTTGACGGCGTGGCGGCGGCCGTGCTGCTGCGGCCGCCCTTTTTCTTTGGAGGCATCGTCGCAGGGTGGTAGAACTCCGGAATTTGAGCAGTGAATCTCTGGATAAGCGGCCGAGTCTGAGGAGCGATATAAAAATATGCTATGCTCTGCCCAAAATTGCCGGGTCTTGGATGTTGTGGTGGTTGATGTTTGGTAGAAAGTTGAGAAGTCGAAGCTCAGAAGCTCACTTACCTAGTGTAGTACCATAGGTCAATGGTTATCCAAGTTACGGCAGGCAGCTTGGAAGGATGAAAGGTACTTGCTCGACAAGTACAAAAGCGCCTTGTGCCTGCAGCCCCGAGACATGACCTGGAGGTCAATAGAACCTGGTGTTGCTGCAGGGGTTAGCGTAGAAACATGCCATCTCAATGTTTACTTCAGCGGGGTTATGCCTGGAATTGGTCCAGTCTCGTCCCGTCAACTCGATGCCGCTTGCTTGCTGGACACGCGATCGGCAGCGCGACACGACAGACGGGACGACAAGGGACGATGGTGGGATACGTCGACTCTCAAGAAAGAAAGACACATTGAGGAGACCCTGAAAGTACAGGTGAAGAGAATCTGGCTGTCAATTCTGTGACTGAACTGCTGAAGAACTGGAACTAGCTACCTCTGGTGGTTCTTCAGGTCACTTTGTCACTCCCCGGCTCAACAGGCTGGCTGCCTGCGCACATCAACAAGGTTCTCACTCATTGACTGTTTTGGTCAATTGAAACATCAACAACAATCTCTTTACTTATTAACCTCCAATGCTGCCAGTATCGCCCACAACAAGCACCAGGCAAAATGGCTGAGGAAAGGGACACTTCTGCGGACCTCTTCGCAATTCCCAATTTCTGGCGGTCATCGAGGTTCTTGGACCAAGACAAAGCCGCAAACCCTCTCTTTTCACCCAACTTGGAAATCTCAGGCATGTTAATGCGACTGACTGTATGCAGACAAAGATGCTAACTCTAATCCAGGCTCTTCTTTCCAATTCCTTCCATTCGGAGACCAAGACAAGCCTCTGAATTCTCTCAAACGCCCGCTTCAAGACGAAGGCCAGACCAGCTTCTTCAGACTACCTCCCGTTTTGCGAGACGCTGCTCTCAGCAATGAACCACAACTCTCCGACGATATCTTCTCCGACGGTATTGCCAGCGCTGAACAGGGCAAGAAAGGCGAATCCCCAGCTGATCTAGATGACGACGAGGAGGACTACTGGCTCACATTGGAAGACGTCGAACCCAAGACACCCGAGTACAAATCCTGGGAGGCATTCAATCCGACAGCCCACCATGGTCCATCTGATGTTGTCTTCATCAGCGAGGCTGGGCCTGTTGCTTTCGACGCCCTCATAACCGATATCCCGGACGATGGCACAGACCCTGTTCCCGATATCCTCGACAATGCCTTGTACTACGCCTGTCTGTTAGGGCTGGCACAGGGGAGAAGCTCTGTCCTCTTCTCATGGGATTCGGAAAAGGGCTCATTTGTGAAGACGGCACCTCACCTTAGGATCTCGGGTGTCTCTGTTCAGTCGATACAAGGCATGGATCAGTTTTGCCTTGATTGTGGAAACGCCGTCAAGGCCCTTTTGTCATTTTCTGAGTCGGCTTATTTCGAATCACCCACGCCAACAAGCGTCGCCCTAGCAAAAGTGGTAGATCAACTGGTCTTGGCTGTCCAGACCGAGGTTGCTGCCCGCAGCAAGGCTGTCCGGTCCATACTTCAGCTACAATCCGTTGTCAAGCCGGCGCACGCCATTCTGACGTATTTCCACGCGCTCAGTAAGAAGCTGGCTGAAGAAAAATCGGAAGAAGGAATGCTCTCATGCCTCTTCCGGGAAGCTCAGGCCGCCGAGTACCAAGGTGGCCTACTACCCGACGTCATCTGCGAAGTGCTACGCCTTGCCTCAAAGCCATGGATCGAGTTCGTCGAGGAGTGGATTGGTCTAAAGAACGAAGAAGGCGCCCCAATCTCCAAGACGGGTTCAGGGAAGTCCTTTGTCAAAGTGGCCGACAAGATGTGGATAGACGATCATGGCTTCGAGCTCGAGGAACCCGAGTTCTTCCTAGACGAGGACAGGATGCCTTCATTTGTGCCTCAAGACATGGCCCGCTCCATCTTCGACACTGGACGAAATCTGCGCTTCCTCAAAGAGCACCATCCAGACCACTTCCTCTCAAAACGGAATGTCGTTGCGCTTACCCAACCACCCAAACTCGAGTGGCAATTCTCCTGGGATGCCATCACAATGCTGGAAACGAGAGTCAACGAGTACAAAGCTGCCGTGACTCGCTTGGTGCAAAACGCAGCATCAGGAGATCAGTTCCCGACACGTTCATCTACTACACATGAACCCAACGAGTACAGGCTCACCTACTTCGGAAGGAGTGAGGAAGAAGTCGCCGCTGCTGTACTCGCCTCAATCAACCAGCTAGCTCAACCTCTCCACAACAGCGAGTCCGACGATGAGCTCACCACCATGCTTCACAACCGCTTGTATTCAATCGCGGACCACAACAAAGAGGAGGGCTTCAACCCACACTGGTCACTTGTCCCCTTGCTCTCTTTCGGTTCACTCGTCGACACCCAGTCCAAGCTTGTCAACGACGAATGCATGAAACTTCTCCTTGGCCCTCACAAGCTTCGAGTGCATACCAATCTCATGAGACAGTACTTCCTCCTAGGCAACGGCATGCTCTGCAGTCGGCTTTCTCACGCCCTCTTCGATCCCGACCTCGAGTCCGCCGAGCGCAAAGCTGGTGTTGCGTTCAGCGGCGGTGTCATGGGTCTTCGACTAGGCGGCCGAGACACCTGGCCACCAGCCAGCTCCGAACTCCGTCTGGCACTCATGGGCGTTCTCTCCGATTGCTACGAGCCGCCCGCCAGTGAGAAAGGCGGTGACGGACAAGAGGAAGCGGCAGGAATGGGTAAATCAATGCTTTCCCGCACCTACAGCTCTGATCTACCCGGTAATCTAAGCTTCGCCGTGCGCGATCTTACCCCGGAGGAGATCAACAAGTGCATGGACCCTGACGGGCTGGAAGCCCTGGACTTTCTACGACTGTCGTACAAGGCTCCGTCCGGACTGCAAAATATCATGACCCCCGTTATTCTTCTCAAGTACGACCGCATCAACAAGCATCTACTTCGTATTCTACGTATGTTGTACGTAGTCAACCACCTCTCTCGCGACGTCCAGCTGCTTGCTCGCCGCACCCGCCTCAGCAACGCCGCCATCCGCTTCTGCGCGGAGGCGAACCACTTCGTTTCCAAGATGGCGAACCACTTCTTTGACTTGGGCATCACTACCATCTGGAACCAATTCGAGGAGTGGCTGGACTCGATAGAAGCAGAGTTCCTTGGCACGGGATCCGGGACCCAAGACGACGACAGCACCAGCGTCGGACACTCTGAAGATGGCACCTCTCGCTCCTCATCATCCAAGAACAACAAGAACAACAGAAAATCCTGCTCCCCCGACCTAGTCCGCGACAAACAATCCCACTGCCTCGACGAAATCATGTCCGCTCTCTTCTTACGAAAGCGACAGACACCCGTTCTTCAGCTTCTGGAAGAAATCTTTACTGTTATCTTGCGCTTCGCCAGACTCATGAGATCCCTCAACAACAACAACAACAACAACAACAAGAAACCACCACCCTTCAATAGGAAAGGAAAAAGCAAAGACGAAGGGTACGCCAACAACAACGACACACCAGAAAGTTTGTACGCCATGTTCAGAAAAAAAATCGAGGTTTTCTTGACGGTGTATAAAGGGTTGGGAGAGAAGGCGGCTGCTAGTAAGAATAAGGGAGGATATGGATATGGATATGGACAAGAGAATGGGATGGGGAAGGTGGGGGAGAGTCTGGCGGAGATGATTCCTTTGGCGTTGGATATGATGGGGTACTATGAGGGGGGAGGGAGGACGAGGTATCAGGGGTAGGTGAGGCGAGGGTTGGTGTAGGTGTGAGATTATGGTGATAACAGGTGAGGAATTGTTGGGACTATAGGGTCGGAGGGTTATAAAAGGTAATGGGTGTAGGATGGGACAAGGTGTTGAGGTGTTTGTTGAATTGTGTCGAGGTATATGGGGAATTATGAATACTATTGCTGAAAGGCATAGCGGCATGGTATGGCATGGATGGCATAGTTATATGTTTTATACATCCAGGATAGCAGCAGGACTGATACCCATTTGTTTAACGATATCTTTGTATGCCTCAGGTTTTTGATACTGGTTGGCGACTTGGATAGAAGATTTTGGAGCTGAAGAATGGGAGGCATTCGTATGACGATTCATGAGCTCTTCACGTTTGTTTGTTACGATGTTGCAAACTCCATGGGTTTGCGATACTTGGTACCACTTATTAATATAGGTTATACCGTGGTTATCTCCGAAGTTTTCCACTTCTCAACTACAGCCATACTTACCCTGACTCACATTGCTTTCTTTCAAATGTTATGTTACTACCAGCACTTCACCACGGCAGCGAGACACCCGTTTGCTAATACTACTATACTGCATCGAAATCAGTAGCAATCATAAAAACCCATGTCTCACGAATAATTCACACTTCCTGCTTCATGTTCCCGATAACTGCGATGAGGATGTTACAACACTATAGCCACTCCCGCTTTCTTCATGGCAGGCGTAGACTTACATGAGCGCTGTATCGAAGGGTGCCGTCCCCCTTTTCCGGCTTGCTTTGCTTCCCTGATTTACACTTGACTCGGCTTTAGAGGCTTACAATGTTTTGTTAACTCGTCAACATGAGGATGTGATTTTCTTCCTGCGTTCTTTTCTTCCCATGTTCTTTTCTTCCCATGTTCTTTTCTTCCTACGTTCTTTCCTTCCTATGTGAAATTCACGGCAGAGTTTTCTAACGACCATGTCCTTCCAAAGTGCTCCTTCATGCAACCACCTAGGTACTTCTAGGTAGTGTACTTGATTAAATCTCACCTCGCGATTGCTTACAGTATCTCACTGACAGTCAATTCTACTTGGTCGTAAACCTCTTTCCTCACTACCGCTTCCATCTTGCTTTCCACTTTTGGTTTCATCTCGATATGTTGATGTTCTCAAAGTCAAGACCACGGTCCGTTGATCCCTGAGCAGATGTAGATGTGGAATCTTTGTCAAAAGGTACTCGGGTAGTCGACAAGATCCCACAATGCTTACCTCCTACCGCGGGAGTATCAAATCTGGTTTCTTTGAGTTGAGTTCCTTCTTTGCCACTCCCCTTCCTTTTTCTTTTTCCTTTTTTTTATTTCCTACCAACCCATCGATTGTTCACAAAATCTTTCATGATCTCGATGTTTAACCGCAACGAACTTCAAGTTCATGTTTACTGTACACTGATGATACCTCTTTTTACGTCTTACACCAGTACCTATCTTTCCTCACCTCCACCACTTCCACCACTTCTTCCTAATCCAGACATCCGAGCGATGAATCAGGGCAACTTGTGATGAAGTGTCGTTACCCAGCGGGGCCATTGCTCCGGAATAAAATCCTACTTGCCCTTTTCGTTCTATACTTGCATACTTTCAAGGCTGGATAGACAACATTGCTTTTTTTTTCTCCCTCTTCGCTTACTATACAGTATACTATGTAGGTAGTACTTGTCACTTGGCACATACATGTCAATACATGTCAATACACATGTCCAATGTCACTTTACCCAATCTGTGCGGAACAATCTCCGCGGACACTGTCCACCTAGTTATAGGTTGGTATCATCACCATCATCATCATCATCTCCGGACACCTTCCGGTAGGTAGGTAGGTAGGTAGGTAGCGCTAACATGACAAAATAACCACTTTGGGGTTGTCCTCTGGACAGTCATTCATTGCTCTTTCTAGCTTCACGCAGTCCCTTCAAATTCATACCTAGGTAGATACTTAGTTCTGTCAAGTCGTTATTTGGAGACTTCCCATACAGCAATCTACATCAATGTGTAGTACTCTTTTCGATCCTACCTCTAGATCTACATCAACAAAAACATGAGCTGAGCTGAACTAACACCAAGTCTCGCTTACAGACACCTAGGTTGCTTACCTACTACATACACCAACCATTTTGAACCATCTATCTTGATCAACAACTACCTGGCACAGTATCTTAATCTTGCTAGGTAGGTCATCAAGAAGTCAAGCTAGGCACGAATGTATGTAGTGTAGTGTAGTGTCTAGTGTCTAGTGTAGTGTATACCCCTTAGAAGGCAGACGCAGAAGAAGACGACGACGAAGAATCAAAGACCCCCTTTTTTTTAATCCGTCCGTCCCCTGCTGATCACTTCCACCTACCTACACACCTCGCTACTTACCTAGCTAGCTAGCTACGTAGCCACCATCACTGAATCGGCGGGAAAACCTCTTGGTAATATCTCTTCTTCTTCCTCGCCGCCCTTTCCTTTTCTTGACTGCTTTCCTTCCTTCTTTCATTTTTTTCTTTCTTTCTGTCTGCCATGACATCACACACATCACGAGAGCCAGTTACATAGGTCAGTTCAACGAAGAGAATTCTGGTAGCGAGGCTAGTAGGTAGATAGACATCCACCAGTTACTGTGTCAGGTAAAGCATGGTCGGGGAAGCAGTGGGATGGTAGTGTAGTGTAGTTCTAGCGTCTTGGGGGGAAGGGGGATGTATGTCTCAAATGTAGTCTAGAGGTATGTCTCAAATGTAGTGTGTATGTCCCTGGCAGCAGCAAGCAGTGACTGGAAGATACCTATTCTTTCTTTATTTTCTCTCTAGCCGCCATATGCATACTTAGGTAGGTTCCTCTAGTGTAGTGTAGGTAGCAAAGAAGCCAAGTCAAGCCAAGCCAACCTCTTTCCAAGATAGGTCTCTCTTACTCGACCGGAAGTAGGTACCCGGCTGTATGTGTGTTTCTTTTTTCTGTTTCTCTTTTTACCTGTAGGTAGACAAGTGTGTAAGTGCCTATGATAGAAGAAGGCTGTAGGTTTTTTTTGCCTTTCTTTTCTTTTTTTGTTGAGTCCTGCCATACTATAGGTAGGTAGGTAGGTAGCTTACTGAGGTCGTACATACATACTCACCGTAGGATACGATACAGTAGAGTAATAGTGTAGTATACACCAAATCGTAATTCGTGCCACGCAATTGGCAGGCGCAGTTCAGAGAGGAGTCAATTCACAGAGAGAAAGAGAGAGAGAGAAAGAGAGAGTCGCAGTCACCTCAACTCAGGTCAGGCACCACCACCACCCTCCCCACCCCACCTAGGTGTGCATACCTACATAGTAGGGTTGTAGTGTAGTGTAGTGTAGTGTAGTGTACTAGGTATGTACGATTCATCACTTCTCAGTCTACCTACCTGCCTACCTACCTACCTACCTACATACTATGTACCCATGCTTATGCTTAAGGTACGTATGTACGGTATGCTATGCTATGCTATGCTATGCTATGCAAATCAACGGAGCTTTTCTCCTCTGTCTGTAATTTGACCAGAAGGTTAAAGGCATACATACAAGTTTAGAAATAGAAATAGGAAAGATATAGGGAAAAAAAGCAAAGAGCCAATTTCCTTGTACCACGTCAACAAGGCTTACAAGTTCGTAGGTTCACGGCAACAACAAGTGATGGGTGAGAGTGGCATGGCATGGCATGGCATAGCATAGCAGAGACCAGACATTGACTAACGATTGCTCAGCTACTTAGCAATCCATACCGAACAAGGTAATCTTTTTGCTGACGGCGTCCTGTCTCTCCTGTCTCACCTTTGTCCGCATCACTTTTTTTCTCTCTTTTACCAGTTAGGCTTGGTGAACTTGGGTTCACAATTGAACTCCCTTGCCGTTGGCCCAAGAAAGGCCCAAGGCGAGATTTAGTTCTGACGATATGTATGCACGCTGTATGGTACACTATTGCCGTTGCCGGTCCCGTTGCCGTACACAGAAAAAAATAGAGAAGTTAGACAGACAGACGAACAGACAGACAGGCAAACCAAAGTCGATCGTTCATTCGACCGGAAATAAAACTAACTGTCTGGCGGCTTTTCTTCTCCCCCACCTCCCTCGCCCTCGGTGACCAAAATGGTCAAATGTCGATCAAGGGGTTGAAACAATTAGGTGAGATATACTAGGTACACCTAACTGACCTGGCATGCATAGAGCTGTGTACGGTAGCCTTTCAGCTTTTCCAAGTCATGTCGTCTTGAAACGCGCCAACCAAATCAGAGGACATGAGTCCATGGGTTAATACATAGTAAAGAAGAGCGAGCAGCTACCGCATGTACTCATCCATAGCAGATATCCTCAAACAGGTATAGCGGGCCACCATACCCGATTTGGGCCGTAAGCGGGTGCTAGCCAACTAGTTTACCCCTAACACCCCCCTTATCAACCCCACCAGCCGATTATAGATTACCTATGCCAGCCAAGCTCCCTATGCTAATAATCTTACAAAATCCTGCCCAACCACCCCACATCCCTCCTCTTCCTCAAACTACCACCTTTTTCAATTCTAACTCATATCCTCAAATTACTAAAATTACTGAAATTAATTAAATAATATTATAATTATCAATCGTGATATAGTCTTTTATTAAAGAAGCAACTCTTAAGTCTAACAGTATATTAAGCTTACTGCTATTAAAACCCCTAGTATTAAAAAGCTGACCGATTTTAAGGTGAATTTTATTTCAGATTATTACTAGTTACTACATCTAACTATATCTTATTATATCGTTCCCCTCCCTACCCCCCCAACTTCCTAAACTCTATCTATACTAGAAATTTTAGTTATTAATTTTTATAATCTATCTACTTTATTTGTATTAATTTTATTATTATTATTATTATTATTATTAAACTCCAAACTAAAATCCGGTTATTACTACAATAGCGTTACTAAGTAATAAAGATAAGGCTTAAAAGTTAAACCTTTCTATTATTATTACTAGGTATAGTTATATTAACTCCCCCGCTAAGTTAAATACTATTATATTTATACCTGCCAATTTCAATTTAAGGTTCTAGACTATTTTTTCTTTTATTTCATTTCTATACTAATTGAAGAGTACTGTTATAAGAAGACTAAACCCTATGGCCGTATTTTGGGTCTAAATACCGGCTCCCTAATTAATAGTAGTATTGCTAGTCCGCTATTAGGATTCTACTAGCCGTCTTTTAAGACCGCTTTAGATTTCTTTAATGTACCCTGCTTAATAATTAGGTATTGGTAGC